TGAAAATTTCAACATTGTTTTTCTTTTTGTCTCTTTTAGTAACAATTACATAATTTCGTCGATATTATTTATTAGTAAAAGATTTTAGTTTTATTATCTTTGCCATAATTAGAACAATAAATTAGGTTTTATTACAAATAAGAATAAAATATAAAGTAAATAATGAAGTATTTCTAATTGAAAAAAGAAGAAGTCTTTTGAACAAAATTGAGAATAAAAAGTAAAAGTCGATATGAAATTTAATAATAAGTTTCTCTTTCAACCCAACCTCCAGGATTATGACGAATAATATATTTTCGAACTTCATCATAAATTAAAATTAAGAAAAAATAAGGTAATGGTAAAAGCCACCAAACAAATCTAAATAAAGAAATAACTAAAATTCAATCGAATTATTATTTCTTTCTATTTACTTTAATGGATAAGTATTCAAAGCTGTATCTAAATATGGTGTATAAGATATAATTGCAGCTAAAACGGTTTCAAAAACTAAACCAAAATTTAACATCCAATTACTAAATTAAAAAAAAACGTTTTTCAGTAAATATGATTTTAATGAATAATAGTCTTACTTCATTCCTTGTTGTAAAATGGAATTTTTTCGTGTTTTACAAATAATTAAAACAGCCCATTGACAAACAACAATTGTAACAAAAAAAGCAGTATGACATGTAAATTCAAGTTGTTTTCGTTGTTCATATGTCTTTAGAAAATATAAATAAAACAAAATAATTTTTATTATTTTAAACAAACCCATTCTTGTCTATATGAATCTTCTAGATCATTGATATTTTTTGATTCCCATGATTTTCTAAGACCCAATAAACGTGATGGTAAAAATCCATTTTGTGCCATTATAACAAGATATGTAAAAAAACCAGCACCTGCTTGAATTGGTCCAATTTGTCCATAAGCCATTGATATAAGACTAAATAAAAAAAATAAAATAAAATATAAATTTATTTATTTGAAATTCCACCGTTCATTAACAAGTCGATCATGTTTCGGATCTCTTGGTCTTCGTTTCATAATATCCGATTCGGCTTGTTCATAAGCTAATGATATAGCTGGAATCATATCTGTACCCAAATCAATACATAAGATTGTTATTGTTCCTAATGCTAATGGTGTATCAGTTAATAAATACATTAAAAATGGAGTTATTTCAGGTATATTTGATGTTAATGTATATGCAATAGATTTTTTTAAATTATCAAATATTAAACGACCTTCTTCAACACCAGTTACTATTGATGCAAAATTATCATCAAGTAAAATCATATCTGCAGCTTGTTTACTAACATCGGAACCAGCAATACCCATAGCAACACCAATATCCGCTTTTTTTAAAGCAGGTGAATCATTAACACCATCACCAGTAACTGCAACAATTGCGCCTTGTCTTTGACAACCTTCAACAATAATAAGTTTTTGTTGTGGTGATGTTCTTGCAAAAACAATTTCTGTATGATTTTTTAATAAATTATCTAATTGTTCTGGTGACATTTCTTTTAAATCACCTCCATGAACAACACAAGCTCGTGCATCACGTGGATTAACAACTTCGACAGGTACACCTAATCGTTGTGAGATATCTTCAACTGTTTCAGATTCTTCTGATATTATTCCAACAGCACGTGCAATTGCTTTTGCTGTTATTGGATGATCACCTGTGACCATAATTACTTTTATACCAGCAGAACGACATTTAGAAACACTAAAAAAAATAATAGAATTCAATTTTCATATTAATCGAAAAACGAACGCTTCAGGAACAGCTGCTCGCGGTGGATCAATCATTGACATAAGACCAAGAAAACGAAGATTTTCAACAGGAAAATTCGGTGGTTCTCCATTAAATTGAAATCCTTTGGGAAAATTGTTACTTGGTAAACGTAAATCACAAAAACCTAAAACACGTTCACCTAAACTTCCTAAGTCCATATAAGCTTTTTGAAATTGATTTCTCCAATCTATTTTAAAAATAATTCAAATTATTATTTAATTAAATAAATAAATGTTTACAATCATTCATTTCAATATCTTGTCCATCAATAAATATAGTTGAACATTTTTCAAGAATTCTTTCAGGTGCACCTTTCATAACTAATAAATGATATGTTCGACTATGATCATTATCATTTCCAGTACGCATTTCATGGATTGATACTTGATATTTATTTGTGGAATTAAATGGAATTTCACAAACTTTTGGATTTGATTCACGAAATTTAATAACACTACCAATCTAAAAATATCAATTCATTATTCTCATCAGTTTTTCCGAAGAATAGAAGTTTCAGGAAAGAAATTACTCACTGATATTTCAACACATTTTAATAAAGCTGATTCTGATGCATCTCCATTGCATTCACGTTGTAAAACTGGTTTAGATAAATTATCTGGATCTTGTTTAAAATCAGCTCGATTACATAACATTGCACAACGTGATAAAGCTAACCATCCCGAAGACTCTTTATCATATGTGATATCTTAATATTTAAAAAAACAAGAACTTTCGAAAAAAAGAAAAGGAAAAAACAATAAAAACTACTTTGTTGATTTTCACTTGTATCAGCTTCAACAATTCGCGTGTCAAACCACATATGTGCAACAGTCATTCGATTTTGTGTTAATGTACCAGTTTTATCTGAACAAATTGTTGATGTTGATCCAAGAGTTTCGACAGCTTCTAAATTTTTAACTAAACAATTCTTTTTTGCCATTCGTTTAGCTGTTAATGTAAGACAAACCTTTTTTTATTAAAAGAAAATTTATGAAAAATTTAAAATTAATAATAAATTCTTACGGTAACAGTTGCTAAAAGTCCTTCAGGCACATTAGCAACAATAATTCCAATTAAAAAGATAACAGCTTCAATAAATGGATATCCAAGAACAAGTGCAATGAAAAAAAATGAAACTCCAAGAAAAACAGCAACACCAGTTATTATATGAATAAAATGTGCTATTTCTCGTGCAATCGGAGTTTGACCAGTTGATAAACCTGATGCTAAATTTGCAATTCGACCCATTACAGAACGATCTCCTGTACGAATAACAACACCTCTTGCTGTACCTATTCATAAAAATTTCTTTTTGTATATCGAAATGAAAATAAAGCACAAACCTTCAACAGCAAATGTACTTAAAAAAGCTAAATTTTTTGTTTCTAATGGATTTTCATGTGTTGTTTCAGCTGAACGAGATTGAGGTTCGGATTCTCCAGTTAATGATGAATTATCTACTTTAAATCCATGTGCTTCTAATATTCTTATATCCGCTATTTATTATTAATAATAATAAGATTAGAAAAATAAAAATAGAAAAGACAAACCAGGTACACGATCACCAAATTTAACATCAACAATATCTCCAACAACTAAATCTTCTGATTTAACATTTTTTCTTTCTCCATTTCGAATAACAATTGCTTGCTAATATATATTTTTATAGAAATATTAGATAAAAATCATTAGAAATTCTTACCAGTGGTACCCTTAACAATAAAAATAAATAAATTCAATTTTTTTTGTTAATAAAAATCTTTTTTTTCTTACATATTTTTAAATGAATCCATAATTCTTGAACTTTTAGCTTCTTGATAATAAGAAAAACATCCTGTAACAATAACAACAATAGTTAAAGCAAGACCAAGCCATAACTATAACAAAATAAAATATAATTTTATATAGAATAAGAATTTTCTTTTTTTTTCAAACATTATCATTTGGTGCTTCACCATGATATGTAGCAATTGTAATACCATGTGCAATAAAACAAAGAAGAGCACCAATCCAAAGAAGAAAAGCAAAACCACCAAACATTTGTTTACAAAATTTAACCCATTCAGGTGTTGTTTTTGGTGGAGTTAATGCATTTGGACCATCAGCTTCAAGAATTTCTTTTGCTTTTTCATCCGTTAAACCCTGGAGATAGATTTACAAACTTTATTTCATATTAAACAAATTTATTTTACTAATTTTGAATCTGTTCCATATCGTTGTAACAATTCTTCAATTTCTAATCTATGATCATCCTAAAATTAAATAAATATTTAACAGTAAATTTTATTCTAAGAATATTTGTGATTGATAAAATAATTTTAACTTACAATATCTAATTCTTTTTTGAGATCATCCATATTAACTTCTTTTTTTTCTGCTTTTGCTTTCTTTTTTGATAATTTATCGGGTTTTTTCTTTTTTTTCGTTGTTTCCATGATATTAGTATCATCATCAATCGGATTGATCTGCAGTTCTCCTTCATTATCTTTGGGTGCCTAATTAAATAAATAAAATCTTTTAAAATATTTAATTAAGTATATAACAAACCATAATAAAATGATAATTTAACTTTTTAATACTACAAAATCTATCTTTCTCTACGTGTGAATAGAGTAAGAATGAGTAAAAAAAAATCAATGGTTATATTTACGTGTCTAAAACCAACGTTTTTATTAGAGAACACTTTATGCCTGAGTAATCATTATATATTATTTTATGAAATATCAAACTGTATGTTACTAAAACCACGGTTTTTTTTCTGTTCTTTCTTATTTTATATGATCATGTACATTTTTATATCTCTATTTATCATCAGAGGACATTTTTTTTCTTTCATCTCTAATCAAATATAATTATCTTAGATTTTCAAGTATAAAATTTTCATAAAAAATATTTCAAATAAGTCTAATGATTAAAATTGATTTATCATAGTTCTTACTTTACTAATATAATCATCTTCAATTCGTATCTACAAACTATTCAATGACAATTATAATCTTTTACTTTTATAAATAAATAGAAATTTTGAAAAAATATTTCCATTGATCTGTGTATGATAAAATAATATATTCGAAATATATTTATTATTATTAAAAACATCTTAAACAAGTTCATATCGAAAAGAGAAAATATTTCTCTTTATTTTTGTATTCTTCAAAAACATCGAAAGAGGAAAAAAACAGAAGATCGCTGACCAGCAGCCTTATATATAATGTTATAAATTCCAAAGAATAAGATGTGATAGTGCATCATCTTTTCCTAATGTTTCATCATTATTATTGAAATCTTCAAATCCATCTCCAATCGTAATAACAAATGTTTTTATAGTTGATCCATCATCTGTTGTTGAAAGAATATTTTTATCAGTTGATAATATAAATCGAACAGGTCCAACATGACCAAATGTTAAACCTTTTAATTGAATTGAATTTAATGTTAATTTACTTGTTCCATTTATTGATAATAAATCAATTAATTGTGGAATTATTAAATTAACAATTATTCCAGCACTTGTTCCAATCCATAAGATTTCTTTACATACATGAAGTGTACTTACATAAAGACAACCTAATTTATGAACACGAATTATATCATCACATGCTAAATGAATAGAAAACATTTATTTATTAGAAAAGACAACAAAATAATAGAAAAAACCTTGTAATTTTTGTGTAACTGCTGTTCTTATACTTGTTTCAAATAGACAAACAAAATGTGTTGCATGATAAAGACGAATTTCATGTGAACCTTGTGATGCAATCCATACATGATGCATAGACGAACCACTTGTTGCCATACATGAGACATGTCGATGACAATCATCAACAATAAATGAATGCTAAAAATGAATTTTTTATATTTTTGAAGAAATTATTTTTAAAATTTACTTGAACATTTAATGAATTAATACAAACAACATATATTTTATCTCGTATAGCACACCATAATTTTCCAGCAGCTAATGTCATTATTGATATTGGATCAGTATTTTCTTCATCATAATTTTCTCCTGTTTTATTACTTGATAATCGACTATTTTCTTCAATTGATCGAATTATTGGTGAATCAAAATCCCAACATCCATCTTTAAATTAAACAAAAAAACAAAATCATTCTTCTCAAATCAAATCATAATAATTACTTAGATCTCTTTTAAAAACACATAATTTTCCATGATTTAATGCAAGAAATACTTTATTATCTGTATATCTATTAAAAGAAAATAAAAAATAATTTCTTTTGTTCTCCTCTCTCGAAATAAACTAACAAAATTGAATGAATTGATAAATTTAATTGTTTAATTATCCCATTTTTTCTTCCAATACTCTTCATTGTTTGTGAACATTCATAAATAAATAATCTTGAGAAGAATTAAATAAAATAAATAAATAAAAAGAAAGAAGAATATCTTACTCTCCATTTTCTGTTCCTAACCATAATGTTGCATCTTTACTAATTTGTTGTTCATTAATAAAATCTTCTTCAACTGTATTTAAAGATAAATTATCATCATGACTAATATCATCATCATCACTTGTATCACTATCAAGTAATGAATCAATAGGAATTGTATCATCAGAATTTGTTGATGGTTGTTTTGTAAGATAACTTGTTTTACGTTCATGATTTGTAGATTTTATTGAAGATGCTTTTTGACGAATTTTATTTGATGGAATATAAGCAATACATTTTATATCTGATAATGTTATTCCATTAAAACTTTTTACTGTTATATCAGATTCAATATTTATTAAACAGATTTCACCTTCATTATTACATAAACAAACATCATTTGAACAAGGTCGAACAGTTCCACAAGAAAACTAAGGAGAAGTTAAGTTGAACTTATGTTTTTGAAATAACATTAAAAAATACGAACTTGACTTCCTGGTCGATGATGTGGAAGAGTAAGAACTTGTTGAAAACTAATATTTCTTTGTCCAGCAGCGATTTCAACTTGAAATTAAATTAACGAAATTTTAGAAAAAAAATTGTCAAATGAAATATTTACGAAGAATTTTTTTTGCTTCAAGAAAATTCTTTTCCCATGATATTTTCTGTTCAGATGATGAAAAAATAATATCAATCGTTTCTATACAATCTCTACAAATTGAACAAATTTCACATTTTTTTTTTTTTTATAAAAGAATTATTTTAAATTACGTTGTATTTAATATTAATTGAACATTATTCGATTTATGATTATTATTATTATCAGAGATACTATTTGATTCTGTATTCGTTGTTGTTGTTTCATCAAGTAAACATTTATTTACAATATTAATAGTTTCTTTTATTGAATCATCTAATTGCTACAAAACAAAATTGAATAAATAAATAAAAAAAAACGAAAATTAATTTAAATAAAATAACCTGATGAGGTACAGTTATTGTTTTAGCTAAATCAGACATTTGTCCAAGTGTAAATATATCTTCTTCTAAATGTCGATGTTTATCTAATGTTGCACTTGCAGTTGAATGAGATTTTTTTAATGTTGGAGGTGTTGATGCAAATGATCTCGTCTTTTTTAAATGATCTAATTTTAATTGAAATTAAAATAAATATTAAATCGATGCCAGTAATACATAATGTCAAAAATCTCGATCAATTTCATTTATATGGAAATATACTTTTATAAGTAATTCATAATTAGTTCTCAATTAAACTAACACAAATTTATAACACTATAAGCTAAAAGAGACTATATAGAGATTCTTATAGTGAGAGAGCAGAGATGAGCAACTCCGGGGGTAAGCAACTTAAACTCCAGTGTTTGTGATGTGAACTACAACTCCACTCCAACTCCAGATAAAAAAGCGTCAACTCCGGAGTTAACTCCAACTCCAGAGTTGAAGTTGCTCATCTCTGATGGATATTTTTTGTTGTTCTCTTACACGTCATGAGATCCACTAGAGTTGGAAAAAAGCACCAACTCCAACTCCAAGGAGTTAAAGTGTCAACTCCAGAATTGGAGTTGCCCATCTCTGTGTGAGAGTAGTCTAGGAGAATGAGCTCAGTCATTTTAAAATTTTGTGTTGATAAAAAATATGAGATTTGAAGAAACTGCCTGCACGATAGTTAAATATTCAAAACATATTTTCAATTTATTATGTTTTCAGAATGGAAAAAAATCAATGATTGTTAAAAAGAATATATTCATTGCAAAGGAACTTTGCGCGAACACTGTATAGATGGTTATATTACACTATGTTGCTAGTGACATATTCATGCCCTACACTAGTATGTAGAATTAAAAATGCACGATCAAAAGTCTACATAATTTTCGTTCTACTAATTCGAAACTGAATGTAGATATACGTTTCATATCCCCAAGAGGATAGAATAAATCACGAGTCAGTATCTACAGGAACTATTAGATATTTGCACAAGTACCTTTGTTTCTTGGATTTTGTAGGGTGTTTTCTATTAAAGTTCTATACTTCTGTCAGCAAGTTTATTCCTACTGAAATGTACTTTTATATGTTTGTGCAAATATCTGATTGTTCCTGTAATTACTAACTCATAATTTATATTGTGTTGGCTGTTAGATAATACATCTTCGAACGATTATCCAAAAAGACTGGATGTCAATATTGTCTTTTTCATTTGTTAGTAAATGAGAATTGTTAATTAAAAAAAAGGTTACCTGCAGCGAGATCAACGGTATCAAGTGGAATTTTCATAATTAATTTATGTTTCGCATTATCAATATATTGTTTACCCGATGGAGAATTCCTAAATAAATTCAATAAAAAGTTATTTTTTTCTTCAAAAAAAAATTGCCGTACACAATAACAGAATTATTTGTTTTTTTTGCTAAAGCTGCATATTTTCGTTTACAACTTGTGATAATAATAAGATCATTAAATAAAAAAATACATCGATCTTTTTTTAATCCAGATGATGATTGAACTGTAACAACATCATGACAAATATAATATCGATTTATATGAACCAACTAAAATTAAAATTAAAAGAAAAGAATATTTTTTCGTACGAAGAAAACAAATCAACGTACATCCGTTAAATTTTCAATCATATCTTGAACAACTTCTAATGAATTATTTGTAAGAGTAACTTCAGCTGAGCCAACTTCTTTTTGTACTTGATCAATTTGTTTAGCTAATGAATGAATTTCTAATTGTGCTTTAAGCAATAATTGATAATCCGGATGATTTATATTTGTACATTTAAGAAAATCTTTTAAATATAATTCATATCTTGGAATACGTTGCACCGGTTGAATTATTAAATCTCTTAATGTTAATTTACCACGATGATCACGTGCTTGTTGTTCAAGAAATTTATTAAATGATGAAAAATCTCGACATAAACGAATTGCTATTTGAGCTGTTTTATAATTATTAACAAAACCTGTATATGTTTCAATAACTGATGTTCGAGTAAACTATATCAAACAAAATGTATTTTTATTTTATTTTATTTTATTTATTTACCATTTGTAATAAAATATCACCAACTGTTTGTTTATTATTCCATTGACTTAATTTTTGTGAAAGTGAAATTAAAAATGCCTTAAAAAATAAAAAAGATTTCAATATCTTAATAGATAACTATGATATTTTCATGAGAGATTATGAGTTATGAAGGTTTGGAAAGGAAGAGATAAGTTCTGTTGTATACTGTCAAAGAAAATGATTAAGTTAGAAATTGATATGACATGATAGTTAAATAATTATATATTTAACGACAAATTTCTTTATTTACTAGAAGAATAAATTCTCATAAACATTCTAGAATGTTCAAGGATCTTTCTACAATGTATTATCTATTAGTTTCTAAGTTAATCATTTTCTTTGACAATACGTAACAGAATTTTCTAATAAACAAATCATTTAATAGAGAATAGAAAATACCGTATGATGAATATGAATTTCTGGTATTTTATAAAATATATCATTAATAAGATCATTGGAAACAATATTTTTATCTTTCATTGGTAAATAATATTTCTAAAAACGAGAGAGAGAGAAAAAAAATATTTTAATTTTTCTTGTTCGTGAAACAAACTTACTGTAACAAGATTTTTGAGAGCTTCAACATATGATTTTTCTGTATCATACATTTGCATAGCAATTGCTTTCCGTTTAGCCTAAAATAATGAAATAAAAATAAAAAAATGAAATAAACCAAAAAAAGACTTGATAAGAAGAAGATTCTTGTTGTGGTTCTGTATGATGACGTCTTTTAGCATAGAGATTTCTCGTTGAATTTGATATTTGATCATCAATAACTAAAGTTGATGCACGTATTAAATTTGTTTTAATTAATCTATTTTTGTCTGACATACGTTAAAGATATCTATGATATGTTTAATATGTTACTCAATAATATATGCAGAAAAGAAAAGAAAAGAAAAAGAGAAGAATTTTGTTTTTCTCGTCTAATCAACGAATATGTTGTTATGGGTATATGTCATAATAAATCTATGAGAAAGAAAATAACAAATAAATATACCTCATTTTTGTCATCAATTGTGACACAAGACGTAGGAGTTACATTAGGATTTAATGTATTAGTTAAACTAATAGCACTTGTTGATAATGAAGAATTATCTTGTATAGTTGTAGAATTTGAAGATTCAATTGATGGATCAGATGAATTTAATTGTGGTGTTGATTGACATATTATTGGATCTTGAGAAGATATTTGATTAAAATTTTTATTTACATCAGTTGGACTTGGGATTGTATAACTTCGAACAACACCATTTCGACGTGTATATGATGGACTTGATGGAGAACTTTCTTGAATATTATTAAGATAATTAAAACGATCAATTGATTTCTTAATTAAATCAAAATAGAAAATATTTAATTAGAAACAAAAAGTAAAATAAACCTGAGATTTTTTCCGAAGAATGACTGGTTTAAAAGGTGTGATATGTTTTGGTGGTAAAATATTTGAAGATGTTGAAGATGTTCTTGTAAGATTATTTAAATTTTGTTTTGGTGGTAAAATATTTGAAGATGTTCTTGTGAGATTATTTGAATGATTTTCAGCTTGATTAGATACATTTCTTTGATTAAGTTGATTAATAAGATCAAGAAGTGGACGACGATCAAATGTTTCTTCCTCTATTTCATTTGATTTTGTTTGTTCTTTAGGTTGATTATCTGTAACAATATTTGATAGAATTGATGAATAACTTGGAGATTGTGTTTCGATTTTTTGAATAAATTCTTTATCATAAGGTGATGAACTAACACAAACACGAATGCTTTGAAGAGAATTATTCACAACTAAACAAAAAAAAAGAAAAGATTTAAATAAAAGTTTTCTTTTTAAAAAAAAACCAGAATTTACTTGATGATTTCGTTGGATGATGAACTTGAATTTTATGTGGTGCAAATGGTTTATTTGTATTTGATGAAGATTGATTATTCGTATAAATTGTTTCATCTTGTTTAGTTTTAAGTTGAATATTTCTATTAAATATATTTGTTTTTATTTCAAATTTTGTTTGTTTATCTTGACATTTTTCAATAGTTAAATTATGATCCGATGTATTTATTGTTGTTATTGAATGTCGTCGTGGTTCGAAAAATAATGGAGAAGATGATCGAGAATCAGTTGGTAATATTTCTATTGATGACATACCATTTATTTCATCCAATGAATATTGTCGAGAAGTATCAATACGACGAAGTTTTAATTTGGAAAAATAACTAAAATATTTTAAGAACAAGGAATTATTTTCTTAAAATAAATTTGTTTTACTTATTTTTTGGATAAGAAATCAATGCAATATAATATAAATGTTTCTTATCATTTGAAAATGTTTGTTTAATATTATTTAATGATGATCGATGTTGTTGAAAATTATTTAGCGATGTTGATGATGTTTGTTGTTCATTTGATTTTTCTCTAATTCCTGTAAGTATTTTATGTTCTAATTCAAGTAATCTTTCAGCAAAAGGTTTTAAACGATTATCAGTTGTTAAAGAATTTAATAAAATATTATTATTATTATCATTATTATTGAAATAAACTGATGGTAATGATCCTCCTGAATGATCCCAATAAGAATCTAATGGATTTAATTTATAATTGCAAATATTGTCGTGGGAATAAGAAGAATTTATTTGTTGTTGATCTTGATTATTTGATAAATAAATCTTTAAAGAAAAAAAAAAATAGAAATAGAAATGTTTTGTTGTTAGTTGTTATTATATGAATACATTGATATAGAAAGAGAATCTTCATCAGTATTACTTCTACAAGAAAAAAAAGAAAGAAAACATGTTTCCCTGTCTTTGTCTCTGTCTCTGTGTCTCTCTCTCTCTCTCGTTCTAATGATTCGTTCTGTAGCCATCATAGATTAACAAATGTCGATACATATGCCAACCGAATAAGATCATAGCCTATCCATAAGTATTGTCAAAAAACGGACGATTAAGGAGGAAGGACATAACATGATTCTCTTCTTGTTGATGCCATTTACAATGAGACTGATTCTTGTTCTTCTTTTATCTCACAATATCTATACGTTATCTACTGATGAGCTAAGAGAGAAGAGAGAAGAAATTGCTGGTGGCATCGGTGTGCTCTTTTATTTTGCCCTTCGTCAGGCTTGACGACATCATCAATGATTCTTCTCATAGACAAAGAATATCTTCATAAAGAAAAATATAAAGATGCTTCTTTTAAATTATCTTATTTTTCTATAATAAATCTAGAAATAATGATCGTTTTTTTTTTGTTTCTTAAATATAGAATAACAATACAAATAAGACTAGAAATAGAACAAAAAAGAGATGATGAAAAAATTTTCTTTTTTTTTTTTCTATCTGTTGTTTTTATGTTGATTGACGCACATAGTTTGATGACAGTAGTATACACAAGCAAATCAGTGATATATATATATATACATATATATATATGCCCTCATAGAATATGATTAACGAGTACGAAATCGACTTTCTTTTTCTTTTTGTTGTTTCAAGAAATATAATTTTTTTCTTTGTTTAACTTACTGTAAATTTTTTACGCCAATTTATATTTAAAACATAAAGACATTGTTCAATATCTTCCGTTGATAAAAGTGATATTAATGAATTTTGCATTGGTTCGATTGAAGAAGTTTCCAATATATCATCGGAACTAATCGATGAAGATAAAAGATCATTTTGTGTTCGATCATCATCTGTATCATCTGATAATATTGATTCATCATTCATTATAATCTTGTCTTTTGTTCACTAGATGTATTTATCTAAGAATTTATTCTTCAGAGGAATAAGTATACATCTCCTTGCTATTATGATACTGATCTTTATTATTAAAGAGGGAAAAAAAAGGAAAAAAGAAACAATCTAATCTAGGCAAGTGCCGATGTCTATATATATATATGTGTGTGTGTGTGTATACGGTACTATCTTATACAATATTATCAGGCTAATGCCACAAATATTTATTCTTTTATTACATCCAAATAACTGACATGTCTTTTTTAGAAAAAGAATTTATCAATATTATCTTTTCAACTTAAATAATTGACAGTTAAACGATGTTATTACAATAATTAGTTTATTTCTTATTTGGATTTAAGAATTTTCATAAATTAGAATTCAAAATCTTATTTGATTTTTCAATTCATATCTTTAATGTATTCATAAAATCTCCACATTTGTTCAACCATTTTTGTATTAAGACCAAAAAGTTTTTATAAACCATCAAATGATATTGATTTATATATGCAAGTTCAATCATAATTCAACATTACCCAGAAATATGTAACAGAGAAACGACAAATTACCCAGTAATGTTTTAGAACATAAAAACAAATTCTATAATTGATCTTGTACGTGATATGGCTACTAAAATCAATTATAGATCGACTTTATAACGAATAAGTCGTAGACTAAATTTATAAGCTATGCTTGATTCACGCTTTTCTTGTGACGTTCTAAAATATTAACATTTTATTTATAGTTTTTCTTATGTATTAGTTGTATAATTCAAACTTTTCCCCTTTTCTTCTACTTAGACCACGAGTTGTCTTTTAATTAATATCTAGAATTCATCTTTTTACGTTCATATCTCAAGTTCTATTTTTTTGTATGAACATTTGAAGAATAAGAAATATTCATCTATACTGAGAGCAATAGTTTTTGTTGAAGTAGACAATTACTTAAGATCGAATATACGTATAATGGGGGAAAATGCAGGAGATATCTACAATTTAGAAAGAAAATTCAAACGCTTTTGCTGAAGGTCAAAAATTAACTCGAAAGGATAGTACTTTCGAAAAGTACGAGCTTTTACATCGACATATCAATAGACAGTATTTTACTAAGTTTCTATTCATTACTTTAGAAATTATTTCAATAAAATATTTTATAATCAATCAAACGATTTCAATGGATTCACTGTTGCATAAACACAAAAAACGATAAACATACATTCTCTCAAATCTTTCTACGTCATACAAAATAACTAACATCTTTTTCACGCAAAGAATTCATAATTAAATGATCACGTCACTGCAATTAGTCTACTTATATGATTGATCAATATCTAGAAGAGTTCATACATATTACTGTACAAAATATTCTCAATTTCAATATTTAGTTTTATTATAGATGACTATGTTTATTGTTTGAATCCAAATACTAGAGTAAAATACTTTTTTCCTGTGATGATTAGTTTGATTTCAATGAATTGTATGTATATTTGGAACATAAATGTTTCTCTTTATTAAAATATAAAAGACAATTGAAAGAAAGAAAAGAAGTCTACTGATAATTTATCGTTCCAAAAAGCAGACAAGTTCAACTAGCTTAGCCAAGTTTGAATTTGATACTGCATTCATATTATCTATACAACAAGAAAAAACTAAGAAATTTCAAATAGAATATTGTTTTATTGAACAAACCATTTCGCTTGGGTGAAACATAAACTCCACCAGCATCAATTTGCCAACCACGTTCATTACAAATTTGTTCAACCATTTTTGTATTAAGACCAAAAATTTTTTGTAAATCATCAAATGATATTGATTTATATGCAAGTTCAATTAATTCAACATTTTGTATTGTTACTCGAGCTAAAATTCACATTTTCAAATAAATTAAAAAATAAAAATGAAACAAACAAATTAATTGTTGAATATTTAGAGTCATAGTTTGGGATGATGAACCATTTTCAGTTGTTGTTTGACATAATTTATAAAAATCTCCATATTGTTTCAGATTAAGTAATGATACTAATGATGCTAAGAATTGAAATTCTTTATCCTAACAAATTCAAATATAATATGCATATATTCTAATTTATTTTTCATACCGTCTTCATTGGAGCTGAAAGATTTTCCCATAGAAATTTTGCTTCATTTCTAATTTAAAAGGAAATGTTTTGTTAAAGAAAACGATATTGAATAAATGTGATGTGACTTACATTTTTGATAAACATAAATATGTTATCATAAGCTCTTTGTATACATCTATTGGAATACTATCAAGTGGAGTCTAAAATATTTCTATAATAAAAATCTAATAACAATGGAAAAGATAAAACTAACTGTTAAAAGACGATTTTGTAATTGTGCTAAATGTTCACGATGTTGTTGGGACATTGTTGATAATAATTCAGTCATTATTATTTTGAATCAACAATTATAGAATATGAAATAAAATAATAAGAATTACATATCAACATAGACTTTTTTTATGAGTAAAGTAACAGAAGGAAGATATTAAACCAATCATAACATTTTTTATGTTACATTTGTATAGTAGAGACATCTTTTTTTTACTTTAGTAAGATTGAAAGAAAACTCTGAATTATTAGTTTTCTGACTTAGGACTGGAATGAGAATATTTTATGTTGTTCGCGTCAATTTCAATATACGAGAAGAAGAATACATTAGATTGCAATATACGTTACATAATTGAATTATCTGATATTCTATACTGACAAAAACTTTAGTTGCCAAGGCTAATGATATGATAAATTTTCTGGATTCGATTTGAGACTAATTAAGTCTACTAATATACATTCTAAGATGAAAATCATCGGTCTAAAATCATGATTGAGGATGTGGGTGTGGATTGAAAATAAAGATAATCACATCCACATCCAATTGACGCCTAAGCTATTAAATATTTAACAATAACGCATACAGCAGAATCAATAAAAATCCAAGTATAACAAAAAGCAATCGTAGTTGAAAGAACTAAACATGTTCAATAGAAATGTCTAAACCAAATGACAACAGTAAGATCAAGAATAAAACTTAACAGATAAATAATAATCAAGACTTGATTATGAACAATCAAACGAAATATTCGCATTTTTATCGAATAACAAAGAATAAGAGAAAAAAGTAAAAGTCATGAACGAACTGAATTTGAGGCTGTTATATTGTTCTAAATATAGAAAACAATATATTCGTACATGAATCTATTCGTAATTCAAAACCGCACAGAATGACAATATCTATTATTGTATAGAAACAATATAATCTTTTTTCAATATAAAGTAGTAAGAGTTCTATTAATGTCAAGAAACATTATAATATTTAATATTCATGAGATGTTTAATATTTCCAATATTGTTTTCACGTATAATTAATTATGCGTTTTGAAATATTATTTTAAGAACTTATATCTGAATTTTGTATCAGATAAAATCTCTGTCATATTCAAGTGTGTTCGTTGCAAACTCTTTTGAAGTAAATTATTTTGTCTATTGATGGATGATGAAAAATGAATACTTTTGTTTCGCAAAAGAACATCTGTTACGATAGACTTTCACTTCTTATATTGATAAATTTCACACGCTGTTTATACGAGACAAAAAACTATTTGATTTCTATAACTGTTTGGTTCAGTATAGAATCGAAAGAAGTGAAGCAAGCAATGATAAGTTTTAGTTTAATTCATTCGTTTTTTCTGTAAATCAGCGCTATTTGATGGTGATAATCTACAACAATTTTTCAAGGAATTTATGATGTATAAAAAAAAATCAAAACTCACTTTTCTTCATCATCTTCTCTGCAATCACCTGATTGATTTAAAGACCCAAAGAGTGCATTCTGAAGTACTTTGAGTATCAACTAAATAAAAGAATTGTAAATGATTAATTACAAAAAAATCTTTCTTACAAAAAACCAATAAATATTTAGAATAAATAATATCCAAAGAAGAATATTAAATGGTAAATAAAGATGAAGACCTTGATCTAAAGTACGATAAACAGCAACAACTCCAGTTGAATAGAGAACTTTTAAAGGGAACCAGTACAATCGAAAGATAAACCTTCAAGAGAGAAAAAAATTGATTTTCTTTCGAACATGAAAAAGATTAAATTTTACCAACAGACGATAAGCATAGAAAAACTAATGTAAGAAGCTTGTTCCCATCGATTATTTTGTCGTGTATTAAGATACCGCACAGTTTTTGATAATTCAAGCCAAATATCAGCAATATCATGACAACAAAGTACTAATAAACCAATTCTATGATAACTTTACAACAACAACAACAAAAAAAAATTTCATTGTTTTTACTTCATAAAAATTCATTTTTACCGTATTGCATAAGAAACAAAAATAAGTGTTGCAGTAACAACATGATGAAGAATCATAATATAAAAGTCATGTCGTCTCGAATCTAAATAAAGTGTTGCATAAATTGAATGAAAATAAAAACCGCATTGAATAAAATAAATAATTTTAATATTAAATGGAACTAACATGCCAGCTGACCAATCTAAAAAAACAAGAATTTTTATGGCTATAGAAAAAATAAAAAGTTATTTTACTATCCCAAACTAAATATGGTTCATCGAAATAATTATATTGATATTTAACTAAATAGAAACAATAAGACCATGCCAAAGTATAAAAAAGTAATTTCCATGCGGATTCACAAAATTTCTTCTCATTTGGAACTGTCAATTGAAATCGTTTGATAGTTTTCTATGAAAAAAACAACAAGAAATTCAATTAATAATTATTTTATTGTAAATAAACAAACCAAAGATACAATTGATCCAAATGCATATCGTATATATGTAAATAAAAATGCAATGAAAATAATACTAAAAATATCAAAACAATTAAAACTAAACGATTGAATTGAGTTCGACACGATTGTTTTTGATGATATCTTCTCATCATTTAAATAATACCAATTAATTGTATTCCAAAAATCAATAACAAGATCTTTATAAGATGGTGACATCGAATATCTATCATTGAACATTTCATTGGATGACATTATGAATTAAAATCAATATCTGAAATGAAACTTTGTACCCATGTTACTTGAAAAAAAAGGTCTTTTTGTTTCGTTTTCAATGAAATTTTTGGAAGAAAAAGAACGGATGACGCTGGCATGACCAAACCGACAATACAATGAAAAAATCAAACAAAAATGTTTTGATTAACATTCTGTTGAAAAAAAAATTCTTCAATCTTCATTCTGTATAACAGAAAAAAATCGCTCATTGTAACGATTTATAAAAATGTGACTCATTCACTTCAACCACTGTCATACTTGAAAAGACGAGAGAAAACTTTACTTATATCAACATTCGACAAGTATTTTTTTTTTCGACATGACAAAATGAGTTTTACTGAAGAGAAATTAGGATGAAATACAGACGCATTAAAATCTTAATTTTTATTACAGAAAATTAAGAAATATAAAAAGTTCAAATTATCAGTGTGAGTGCGTATATTCTTCTCATCCATTACCCACACCCTAAGTAACAGATAGTAGCTGCAAGAACAAAGGATATCACTTATTAATATCATTGTTTATATATTATGTCATGAAATCATTGAGTGTGGAGATATTTGCAAGAAAGTATATCAGACTTTCATCATATTTTATTATTAAAGATTGTATATTTATAAGTAATTAGATTTTTTATTCCAAGATAAATCTTTGTTATGCACAATTACCAGAAGATTGTTTAATTGCCCAGAAAAAAAAGGATGATTATAACAGTTTATTTGTTTTAAATAATTTCTTATTTTAATGATCTTTTAATACATAATCAGAAAATGTTTTCACACAGAATAAAATGTGCTAACATACAAAAAAATCTTTGAATGAAAAAGAAAAATCATCAGATTACCCCAGGTCGAACAATTCGGCACGGAAACGGACAGTTCTGTGGTATTCCGGAGATTTCATGGAAGCAGTATTCTCGTTGAACGGATCCGGTGACCAGATTTATCTGCTTTGGGCCGGAATCGACAGGAACATGTCAAAATCGGCAGCCAGATACGGTTACCTCACTTCTCGATCGGATTCCTGGCATTTTCCGGGCGGGTTCCGCTCGGAAATGGCGAGTTTCCTTAGGGACTTTGCCAGAAATTCATGGAATCCTGCTTCAGGAACCATCGTCCTGGGATGCTTGGTTTATTTTGGAATTTGTTTAAATACAGTTTCTGTATTTCTCTTCTAAAAAGAATAAATATAGAAATGAATAAAGTAGAAAGATACACTTACCGAACACAGACGATCAATAAAATCTTCCATTGACGCAAATTCAATTGAGAATGTATCTTGTTCAATTAACAGTTTTACAAATCGTGTGCTATCTTCCGTCTAAAGGAATATAATAAAATAATTTAATGAAAATAACAAATAACAAATAATTAAGAGGACTCACAGGTTTATCATGTTTGAACTTTAACAATGTTAATTGTAGTATATTAATTTCATCTTGTTCACCAAATGGATTTTGTAAATTTTGCTATTTATATATTATGTAAGTTCTTTTTTATATTCGTCAAAATAAAACTATTTTATTCTAATAAAAATCATGATGGAATAAACTTCATTATCGATGTAATCAAATAAATACTTAGCAACTAAATAGGAGCCGAAAAAATATCTTACCAGTAATTTCTTGGTACTATAACTTGTGATCGAAGTGATGAATGTAAAATAAACTTAAAATGCGTACTATTTATAGATCTACATGCCTATTCTAGAATTTTCTATATAGAAAAGAAAAAAGAGAGAAAATTAAAGACGTATTTATTTATTTCTTTGTTCATGTATATAATCAGTTATCTGTGTTCGTAATATATTCGCAATCTGAGCGACGTGGCAGTTTCTTGATGTATATGCACCTCGGCAATTCTCTTTCTTTATTTTTCCCTATGATAACGAAAATACAAACAGAGAAGATATGACCGCATTGAATACTATCCAGAACTTTCTGTGTAGTTGTAACACAATTAATTCCAGCGAAAATTATAAAAATGGTATGATTGAAATGCATATGTATTCTATCGTTTTTAAAGAAAAAGAAAACTTTGAAAAATATATAAATATAATACTTAATTTAATATATAGAAACTTTTATAAGTAACAAAAACATTTTTCACGTTTATTTTCAATAATATTATTTTATTTATTAATTAACTACATAGACGCAAGTATTAAATCATTCTTAATGAAACAGTTTATTATAATATAACAAAACTGTTATAGAACTTTGTTACTAGTTAATTAAGACAATGCATTTTACTGTCTATTAAAAACTGTTAAAGAAAAGTCAGAAACAAAAATAATCACTTTGTCTCTTTACGTTACTTTCTTTAGTTGAACACAAAAAAAATAAAATTCTAGTTTTCAAAAAGTAAGTTATAAAAGTAGTTAAACGTTTCTCTGATAATTAAATTGAATAAAATATTTCAATCAAAAATTCTTTATCAATTATTTTCCGTTTATTTATATATCAATACAAAACGAAAACAATAAATAAGTTCACAATACTCAATGTCAATAAAAATTAAAAATAATGTCGTTACTAAAATACAAAAAACAAAAGAAAGAAATGTTAAGTCGAAAAAATCTTAGTAAAAAATATGAAATAGCTGGAGAAAACAAGTTAACAATAAGAGTGTAGATTTTAACAAATAAAAAATATGATTAAAAAAATATTTAAAGATTGAGTTGTTGTCGATTTACTGAGAAATAAGCACCAATAGCATTATGAAAATTGATTAACTGTTGCTTCATTACTTGAATCTATTTTAAATACAAAGAATTGATTTGTTTTTAACTGTGAATGAATACATACTCTATTTTCATCCAATAATTTTAATTTAATTGTAAGATCAGATTTCGATTTTTCATAAGATTGTTTGAAATGTTCATATTGTTGTTGTATATGTTGATCTGCTGAAGATAGTCTATCATCTGATTGATTATTTCGAGCTAATAATACTTCATAATCATATCGATGAGCATCATATTTAGTTCTAAAATTTATTCAATAGAAATTATCTCAATGCAAAAATAACAGACCTTGCATTTTCATATACTTTTATTGTTGATAAAGTATCTTCTATTGTTTTATTTGTTAAGGTATGTAGTTTATCAATAAATATATTCATTGAATCTAAATTAAAACTTTGTAAGGTCGGGAAAATTTAAAACTTGAGCAGAAATTGTTTTTCAACGATTTATATATGGTTCGATAGAGCTCATCAAACTGTATAAGAAAATGTATTTTAAAAAAATTTTGTCTTACTTTTTTCACAAAAAAAATCCCCAAAACTATATGGCGTATATTTGAAGAAAATAATTTTTTAAAAGATAAAACAAAAGTAAAAAAAAGGTCTATGCATAGGTTTGTGGCTTTTTTGATGCTGAATCGAATAGTATATATTATTTGATTTTATCTCGTTGAAAAAAAACTAGATAGGTTTGTAAGTTATGCTAGTGACACCTATCTATTGTCATTCATATATAGAGAAGAAAAATGATCATCGTATACATAAGTAAGATTAAAAATACTATTCTATGCTTAGTTTTCCATGCTGACTAAGAAAATAATATTTCTGCAATCATCAAAAAGAAGGAAAATTTTTTTTTATATAATTTCTCAACAATAAACAATTTTTACATAGACAACAGGAATAAAAGGTTTTGGGATTTCTTTTGTAAAAAAAGTAAAACAAAATTTTTTAAAATACATTTTCTTATACAGTTTGATGAGCTCTATCGAACTATATATAAATTATTGAAAAAAATTTCTGCTCAAGTTTTGATTTTTCCCGACCTTAAATAAAAGAAAAGAAAAAAAATCAAAAGAAATTCATTTACTTAGAAGGGTTTCACCATTAAGTGCAATTACTTTTTGACATTCACTATTTCGTACAAGTTGATCAACAAGATCATCTGATGAAGCAGATATTTGTTGTAATTCACTAAAACATTCACCTAAAATGTATTAATTATTATTTATTGGAATAAATAAAATAAAATTGAAATTAACCGAGAGATCGTTGTGTTTGAAGAAGACCGGCAAAATAAATACTCATTTGACGTGCTTCTTTTAATATATGTTCATAATGTTGTTTTGTTTCACGAACAAGCTAAAAAAAAGATAAAGATTTCGGTTATTTCGAATTAATTTATTTTATTTTGGATAAACCTGAATATTCTGTTCAAGTTCTATATCTTGTGTTGGAATAACATGTCCCATACGTTCTTGAAATAATTGTCGAGTATATTTTAATGTTCTTGTACTCCATTGACGTAATGTATCCAATGTTTTACTCCAGTTCAATGTGGCGCGCTGAGGAATAGATAAAACAGAACCATCTACTCAATATACATAAATATATTTAAAGTTTATTAAATCAATAAATCTCACCAGGTGTATCATATGAATCTAATAGACTAACATAACTACTAGGAGAGGATGTTAAATCATTTGTTGTCTTTTTATTTAAATTTGTATATAAAGCTGAAGGAGACTCACTATTTGAAATAGAAGTTAACATCTTAATTTATATAAGATGAAGGTGATTGATAGTCTCACGATAAGAAGAATACATACATATACATATATACAGAACTGAAAAGAAACTTGATGGGTAAATGAATTGAGTCAATCATACAGTACATTATAGTGTCTGTCGGATATTTGTGACATCTACTATATAATCTTACTCAATATACCGATTATCGAAACGATTTATTGGGTTTTTCATTGCTTTAAATACTCATAAAAAGCATTGATCGTAGAGATATAATACGTAGAATTTAAAATGGAACATGACTACTTATTTATTTCTCAGTCTATTAAAACTGTATTTGTCTGCTATGTCAATGAAAGTTTTTTATGTATTATTCTTGTAAATTAATGATTTCATTTAAATTTGATGTTGTAAGTTTGTTTTTGTGTACTCAAAAAGTGAGTACACTACTAAAATCGGCCAGTGTGTCCGTCCGTCCGTTTACACGATAACGTCCGAAAGGAGAATCAGACTGAGCTGAAATTTTCTACAGAGTTTAGTCCCATGGATATCTCGGTCGAGTTCGAAGATGAGCCCAGCCAGTTGTACCATAGCTGTGTTATAAAAGAAGTTCTCATTATTGATCAGACCATCCCTGAGGGGGAGTACAGGGATTTTTTTCAAAAAAATATTATTTTCAAAATTATTCACAACATATATAAACCGACTCAGTTTTTAGCGCTGATTCCGAATCTGATATTAGTTTTGAACCAAATCGTAGCTTTCTAACAAAATATCGCCTGAAAAAGGTCTCAAAATGCACAAAAACCGTATCCAGACACCAAATTGCCTAGATATGTCTCAGATGACTAGTAGTTTTGAGGTTTATCAAATACCTGGTTTTGTAGTTAGTCAAAAGGACTATTGAAAGGTAAAAATCCGAACTCGATAGCTAGTAATATTGGTGAGTTATTATGAAAATACTGATGTTTGTGTCTATCATATATCTCTTACAAATTCATGAGGTTGCTTATGATCGTAATCCCCCTAGATACAAACACAAATTCAATCAAAAATAACTCCTCTTACCTACTGTTTTTGGAATAGATAGAATTTGTGAAGAGCTCTGAATAATGATAGGGGGGTAAATATGGTGCGTTCGAGGTTTCCTCAACATTACACTATCCGAAAACTATGAAAAACTCACATATACTAACACTGCTGTTAGAACTGTTTATTGTTGACTAAAAATTAAAAAAAAACAGGTCAATATCTATTTCCGCTTTTTGCAGTACACATAACTCTCGGATAAAATCCGACGTTACGCATTTATTTTTTATCATGTCTTGTAAAAACAGTTGACTATGACGAATTAGTTTTACCACTTATTTATCGGATGACAAATTTGGAACAACTTGGTTTATATCTTTCAATCCATGTTCACGAAAAATTTCTTGATGGAAATCATTTGAAGAAAAATATTTTTAATCATATGCCCCATTTAAATCAATTTTCATTTCATATTTGCTCTACTATGTTTATTAATAATCAAATGAATTTAACGACAAATGATGACATTCAACAAACGTTAAGAGATTTGAAAAACGATCAAATTATCTCTTATATTGATTATTTTCATAAAAGAAAACAATGGCAATGCCATATATATTCATATCCATTTCTAATGAAATTTTACGATAATATAACAAATCATTTTCCAAATGGAATATATCCATATGTTCGAATGATATCATTATATGATGAACGACCTTTTGAACATGAATTCTTTATTCGAATTCAAAAGTCATTTCTATTTTTGGAAAATTAACTTTAACTAATTATTATGCACAAAATCATAAATATTTCCATAAATCATCTATTGTTAACTATTGTTATCTTACAGATCTTGACCTTAGTCGATCTCATGATGATTACATCGAAGAATTCTTTTGCGATACGAAAACATTCTTATCTAATATTATTAATTTAGAGATCAATTTTCGATCTTTATTAAGAGTAACACAAAACAGTACAAGAGATGATATGCGAATTAATTGTGCCAAAATAAACAAATTAACTTTGTGTAGCATAGAAAATTGCTCAATTGAATCTTTACAAGAGTATTTTTCCTGTGCAAAAATTGTTGATATTTCATCAATAGTTACTATTAGAAAATAAATCATTTCGATTTTCTTAATCATAGGAATAATTGATAAAAGAATGAATAATAAAAATTTGGAGTGTATATAGAAATAAATAATTCTTTATTGATATTAAAATTTATTGAAAATAGTTTATTAGAATCTTTGACTACAGAAGGAAGAAAATAAGAAATGTTTTATTAAGAATAAACGAAATGAAATGAAATCGTTTATCTTCTTGGATATTTTCGTACTTGAGTTGTTTGAATTGAATCAATCCATTGGGTAATATCCCGTCGTGCTGTTGAATGTGATAGTGGTTCTAAATTTTAATACAAAAAAAAAGAAATTTACTTGAATGTTCAATATTTTGAGGTCGATGATACGGTAAACCATTTCCTTTTCTATGTTTACAATGAACCATTGATTTAGCATAAAATATTCATGGATTATTTCGTTTTTATTGTAAGTTAATATCTTGTTTGTTAAATTATAGTTATAACTTTCGAGTTTGTTTTTTTTT